CTTCATTAATTAAACAAATATTTATTTAGTGTTTACCACAAATTGAGCAATGTTTTGGTTTTGAAGTCACAGCACTGAAGAGGGGACAAGATACTTGTGCTCAGAAAATTGACATTCTTGTTGGGAAGACATACGCAGACAAACAAGGTAAGTCAGAAATGGTAGTTTCTCTACCATGTAGAGAATTAGAATGGGTGACTAGAGATTCAAAGCACTTTGGATGAGGTGGTCCTTGAAGACCTCTCTAAGGAAGTGACTTTAAGAGAATTATCTGAATGACACAAAATTAACTACAAGATTGCAGGAGAAAGCATTCCCTAAATAGGAACTGGTTGATGTACAGGCAGGAATAGGTTTTGTGCAACTGAGAAAAGTCCAGAGCAGCTGGGGCATAGTGGGCCAAGGGGAGGATGTTCTAAGTGGAAAGCAGAGAAGCAGGCAGGCCCAGATCAGCAGGGCATGTAAGCCAGGATGAGGTATTTGGATTTCATTGTGATGATAACAGGAAGCTACAATCTAGGAGGGCAGTGACATTTTTGATTTGCATTTTTAGAAGTTGTGCCTGGCTTCTGTGTAATGAATGGATTACACAGAAGGCAAAGTAAAAGCCGGGAGACCAACTAGGAGACTATTCTAGTAGTCTCAACAGGAGATGAAGGGGCTATAAACTAGGGTGAAAGTGGCGAGAAGTGGCAGATTTGGGATATATTTTGGAGGTGGATCTGTCAGGATATCCTGATGGATTTGCTGGAAGGAAGAGAAATGGTGAGATAAAGAGATTTTTGGTTTGAACCAATAATCTGGTAGTGATACATACTGAGACAGGAAAACTGGTGAAGAAGTTTTCAGGATAAAAATGAAACAGTTTTGTTTGGGCCATGTTAAGTTTGAGATGCTCACTAGACATCCAAGAAGAAATATGAAGTAGATATATATAGATAGATAGATAGATAGATAGATAGATAGATTTCTTTTTTTGAGATGGAATCTCACTCTATTGCCCAGGCTGGCATGCAGTGGCACCATCTCGGTTTACCACAACCTCCGCCTCCCAGGGTCAAGCCATTCTCCTGCCTCAGCCTCCCGAGTAGCTGGGATTACAGGCACATACCACCATGCTGGGCTCATTTTTGTATTTTGAGTACAGATGGGGTTTCACCATGTTGGCCAGGCTGGTTTGGAACTCCTGACCTCATGATCCACCCACCTTGGCCTCCCAAAGTGCTGGGATTACAGGTGTGAGCCACCCCACCCAGCCTGATAGATGAAATTTAAAGCCAGGGGACTAGTTGAGATTACTTCCAGGCTGAGTATGACAGATAAAAGCAAGGGTCCCAGAACAGAGTAGGGGCACTCCAACATTAAGATATGCAGTAGAGAAGCCATCAGACAGAGAGGCAATGGGCATTGAGGAGAAAAACCATAAAGTATAGTGTCAAGGAAGCCAAGAGAATAAAGTAACTCAAGGAGAGAGTGGTTAACTGTTTTCTATATAGGAAACAGTCAAAGTCAAAACAATAAAGTAGTCATTGGAATAGGAAACATGCAGGTCGTTAGTGATCATAAGAACAGCCTTATTGGAGTCAGTGGGACACAGGCTACAGAGGCTCGATTGGAAAGGGTCGAGAAGAAAATATAGAGTGAAAAAGTGCAGCAACTATAGATGTGTAGGCCATCTTGAAGATCTTGAGAAAGAAGACAGAAATAAAGTGTAACAGGAATGCTGCTGGGCAACTGTTAAAGGAGTAATTACATACCTTTCCTTTGAAGGATTCCTTCAATCCTTCCTTCATTCGTTCAACAAATATTTATTTAGTGCTAATCATGAATTGAGCAATGTTTTAGTTTTGGGGTCACAGCAGTGAAACAGGTATAAGATCCTTGTGCTCAGAAATTTGATATTCTTGTTGGGGAGACATATACCTGAGATCTGTGGTTATTAACGCAGAATGAGCCCAACAACCCAAGTTATATATGTGTACCTCTAGTGATATTTAGACACTTTCCTATTCCTATATATATATGTGTGTGTGTGTGTGTGCGCGTATATATGTATGTATATATTAGATGAAGTCTCGCTCTATCACCCAGGCTGGAGTGCAATGGCGTGATCTCAGCTTACTGCCACCTCCACCTCCTGCCTTCAAGCAATTCTCATGCCTTAGCCTCTCCAGTAGCTGGGACTACAGACATGCAGCACCATGCCTGGCTAATTTTTGTATTTTCTGTAGAGACAGGATTTCACCATGTTCACCAGGCTGGTCTTGAACTCCTGATCTCAGGTGATCCACCCCCCTCACCTCCCAAAGTGCTGGGATTACAGGAGTGAGCCACTGTGCCCAGCCTTCTATTCCTATTGATTCTGTGCAGCAGAGAGTAGGTGGTTAATTGAACTTAACCAGGGTTTGGCCTCTGCTAGACAAAAGCAATGGAGGAAGAGAAAGGTGAAGAAGTGGCCGGGTGTGGTGGCTCAAGTCTGTAATTCTAGCATTTTGGTAGGCAGAGGTGGGTGGATTACCTGAGCTCAGGAGTTCGAGACCAACCCTGGCAACATGGTGAAACCCCGTCTCTACTAAAAGTACAAAAAATTAGCTGGGCATGGTGGTGGGCGCCTGTAGTCCCAGCTACTCGGGAGGCTGAGGCAGGAGAATCGCTTGAATCCAGGAGGCAGAGATTGTAGTGAGATTGCACCACTGCACTCCAGCCTAGGCAACAGAGCAAGACTACATCTCAAAAAAAAAAAAAAAAAGAAAAAAGAAACGTGAAGAAGTTAAGCATATTTGCAAAGGGAAGATTGTAAAGTTGTACCACGGGTTTCAGGAGAGGTTTTGATAGAAATGAGTAGGCTAGGGAAATGACTGATAGTAAGAAAGTAAGAGGGGCCAATGGATTTGAGGTCTTGCTGGGGATCAAAGTAAATAGATGGTGGGGGAATATTAATGCACAAGAGCTGAACAGATAGGAATTAGTGGTCAGACACGGTAAGCAGAAATGCTATGTGTAGGAAGCTGCTAGATTAGTGAAGGGTATTCTTACATGATTGTCTCACCCACTGCTTATTTTCTTTTGGAGTAATTAAGTTCTCCAGTGTATTATCCCAGTGATGGAGTTATCATGAATTGTGCAGGGGAGTACACGGATTTTCAAATAATCCATGTGGCTCAGCTGTAGATGAGAGCCTATTATATTATTCAAAGGATTCTACAGGAGAATTCCAGTAAAGAAAGTCTTAGTATGTAACATTAATAAGCAGTTTTAAACTTTTTTTTTTTTTAAAGACAGGGTCTCACTTTGTCACCCAGGATGGAGTACAGTGGTGAGAACATAGCTCACTGCAGCCTCAACCTCCCTGGGCTCAGGTGATCCTCCCACCTCAGCTTCCTGAGTAGCTGGGACCACAGGCTCACACCACCATACCCAGCTAATATTTTTTTAGACGAGTTATTGCCATGTTGTCCAGGCTGGTCTGGAACTTCTGGGCTCAAGCGATCTGTCTGCTTCCGTCTCCCGAAGTGCTGGGATTACAGGCATAAAGTCAGTGTGCCTGACCCTAAACTAATTGTTGAAAAACAAAAAAGAGGAAAAAAGTCACTTTTATCACCCCATGTTGCTGAGAATGTTTCCCATATTGTCTGAAAATAAAGCACCTCATGTTTAGAAAGATGGAAAAGTATGTGCTTCGTAAGGGCATTATCACTGGTGATTACTAATAAATTAGCTGTAGGCATGACTGTTCTGCTGCACCATCAAGAGACACACACACATAATAAAAAACCAAATATATCCGGAATAGCAATATCGTATTACATTATATAATGCATCATACTTTACAAAACATTTTCCTATTCATTAACTCGTTTGCAAATAATATTTAATTTTGTGCTGCTTTTCAAAAGATCTGGAAGTACTTTCCAAAAAGCACTCCATTCATTGCTTCATAGGCTTCATTCAGTGTTCAGTTGTTTTTTTTTTCCCCCTTCCAGCAAGGTTAGTTCCATTATTCCCTCTCCTTCCCTGTTCAAGCAATATTAAAGGCTTCTCTTTTTCTACCAGGGTGTTAAGTTGAGCCTCTTGGCTTGTGAATATTGGCAGAATAGTAGGATGCAGAAGCTGTGATTTCTCGAGTTAAATAATGACATCGCGCCTGGAGGTCAGTTCCAAGTCCACGCCGTTTTGGAACGATATTTATCTGTGACCTCTTTTTTTTCTTAATCTATAAAACAGAGGCATTAATGACAATTTACTTCATATATCTATTATCAGAATAGGACTTAAAATTCCTTAGGAGGTCAAGCACGGGCTTTAGGAAAAGGAAAGCACAACATGTGAACATCAGCCTGTTAAAAACTGTTTTGATCTAGAAAAGACAACCTCAAACTTCTCTTGACAATTCAAATTCCAGCTTCTTCCTACCCTTCTTTTTTAAATCTTTGCTTTCTCTTTGGCTGAAATTAGAAGCAGGAAGGGAGCAGGGAAAGGAAACCAGAGGCTGGAAAAGGGCAGGGGAGCCCAACAGACCGGTTAAGCACGTCTGAGATTCTCTAGTCGGCTTCAACCCAGAGGCTGAGGCAGAGTCAGCGTTTCCAGCAGAAACGAGGATATAACTGAGGCTCAATACCTTGTCCACAGTCAGGAGCAATAGCCGGAAGGGTGACATCGACACATTTTACAAAACAGCCTGAGGAGTCCCCTCCTCCCGCCTGGGTCAGGGAGGGACACCCCCAGGGGTCCACGCCCGCCTCCCACTAGCTGGCACGCGGCCGTCGCGCGGGCGCGGCCCTCTGACGGAGCCCAGGCGTGCGCTCCGCAGCCTCGGCGTCTCCCAGCTAGCCGGAAGAAGCTGCGGCGACAGCGTCCTGCCGCCTGTCCGTCACGCAGCCGCCCACGCTGCCACCGCTTCCGATTGGTCGCTGGCCCGGACCGGCCCCCTTCAGCCCCGCCTCCCGCGGATGGACAGGCGAGGGGCGGGCCCGCCGCCGCCCCGCCCCCCGGCGGCCGCGGGCGGGCCCGCCCAGCTGTCAGTTACGGGGGCCGCCCGGCGGGCGGGCAGGAGGCGCTCGCAGGCTGTCTAGTCGTTTGCTCGCTCTCTCTCGCGTGCTCCCTCTCGCCGCCTGTGGGGAAGTCGGGGCCGCCCGAGCGGCCGCCGCCACCGCCTCGCCCCGACCTCCTTCCAGGTCCCCTCCCGGCCCAGTCCCTCCCGCCCGCGCACCCCGAGTAGTCAGTGGTCCCGCGCAGGGTTTGGAGAGTCACCGAGGCGGCGCCGGGTGGTGGTTAAACCATGTTAAGGAGGATTTTACAGAGGGTAAGAGAGTGAAACCGTCTTTCCGGCAGCACGTGAGCGGGACTGCCGGAGCTTGGGGCCGCGGCGCGGGCGCCCCTCCTCAGCGCGGGCTCTTTCCTTCTCTAGGCCCCACAGCCCGGCAGGCTCTTAGGCCTCGGTCGCCTGGCCCGGGGGCGGGGAGGGCGGGTGGGGCCGGCGCGGCGGGGCGGCAGGCGGAGCCCTGATGGCCCCGCGCGTCGAGGCCTGGCGCCCGCTGCGGCGCGAGGCTCGGTCTGTGCGAGCAGGCTGCGACCTGGAGGGTGTGGTGCCGGCGCGTTCCTCCCGGGATCCCGGAGTGGGAATGAAAATGGAGAGTTGGTTGCCCGTGGGACGGGCCGACTGGCCGCCTGCCGGGCTGGAGAACGCCCCCTGGGAGATTGCGGGCGGCTTGCTTCGCCCTTCCCCACCCGCCGCACTCCCCGTGTCTCCCAATTTGACACTACGCGCACCTGCCACACACGGCCCCGCTTTCTCCTTTGGGCCACATTGGAAGGTGGTGTGGTGAGCCCCGGCCTAGCTTGGGCCCAGTCGTGAGACCGACACTGGCAAAGTCAGCCGAGAAGGAAGATGTTACTCACTGTTGGAAACTTTTTTTTAATTAAAAAGACGTTTTCTGTCCAAGCCCCACTACCTTATTTTAGCTATCCGAGAATAAATCCGCAGTAAGCTTGATCAAGTGGTATACACTTAGTTTCTGCCAGTGCTGTCTCTGAAATCTGGAAAACCTTGAGGATAGAAAGATTAGAGCATTAGAAAACTGTAAGTGTATCATTTAGGAATCAGTTACTAGAATAACATAATTCACATCTCTTATAAGAGTTGTTGTACCTATCAACTGTTAAATTTTTGGGGGGGGGGGCTATAGCTTTTTTCTTTTCTTTTTGAGGCTGATAGGGTGTAACAAAATGTAAATGATTGAAAAGTAGGTGCCAGGCCTGTTAGTTCTTTACCGAGGGAGTAGCATAACTAGTTCAAAGGACAAAAGAAATTAGTTAATTTGTAGGATTCAGCCGAGGAATGTGCGGAAGAGAGTTGAGTCATCCAGTAGATAGGAAGGGAGTGCTCTTGCTTCTGCCTAGCTTTCTCCTAAAAGAATGAAGTCATGTGAGAAACTTGGTCAGTTATTAGAGGGAGAAATAGTTAACTTCTTTATCTGACAACCTGTATTGACATTTAATTGTATTTTGCAGTGTTTTGTCAGTTTTGAAATCCCGATCAGCGATGATTTTGGCAGTAGGAAGGGCGTGTCCTTTACTTTTCCCATCACTTCCTTAGTTCAGCAGTAAAGACATCTGTGCATTATTTACTTTGAGGCTTTAGGAGATTTTTCTTTTATCAGACCTGGAGGAACTGTTTACCTCATGTTTCAGATTGTGTTTCTGTCATAGTTCCGCAAGTGAAAATTAGTTTGCCCGTGGTTTGCCTTGAAGTTTACAAATAAAAGTGTTTACTGGTTTAAGAATGGCTTCTGTAGTTATAGATTGGTTTTCAGAAATAAGGGATGCTTTCTAGTAATCTTGGTTTGAAGTTAAACATGGAGATTATATGAAGATCATTTTTAATGTTGGTGCATACCTATCAACTGTTAAAAAGCTTCCGTTGAAACTACAAAAGTGAAATTGATTGTGGTTGTTGCCAGAGATGTGATATTGAATCATCACATCCGAGTAAGTCAGTTGACAACTGAGTTTCTTAACGTCGGCGCTATTGGCATTTGTGACTGGATAATTCTTTGTCGTGGGAGGCTGCCCTGTGCCTTGTAGGATGTTAGCAGCATCCTTGGCATCTACCCCCACTAGATGCCAGTAGCATTCCCCTATATTCCCTTCGCCCTTGTTGTGACAACCAAAAATACCTCCAGATTTTACCAGATGTCTCCTAGGGGCAAAATTGCCTCTGGTTGAGAATCAATGTGTTAAATGCATTAACTCTTTAATAGGAAAGTTTGAAGTGTTTTTCACATTTAAGTACTTAACTTTCTTTTATTCGGTGTATTTATATTGAGTTTCAGTAAATGCCAGTCTTCATGCTAAGGGCTGGGAAACAGTTGATTAAGCTGTGAGTCCTCCCTTTGGAACTCACAGGCTGTTTGGGAGGTGAACTTTTAAAATGACAGTGGTATGTAATAGAATAATGAAGAGGACAGAGGACCCAGGAGGCACTCTTTGGGAGGAGGTGAGGGTAATTAGGAAAAGCTTCAGGGAGGAGGGCATATTCACAGCTCAGAAGAGGGAAGGGCATGTCAGGCAGAGGGAACAGCAAATGCAAAGAGATGGAGTCATAAAAGGCGCACTCCCCACACTATGGGGAGTGTGAACAGTTAAGCTTAGGAAGTGAGATGGTCTGTAGCAATTAGTAAGAGATGAAGTTACCGTGGTGGCTAGAGACCAAATTGTGAGAGGACTTAAGAGTCCCTTTGAAGGAGCTCAGCTTTTATCGTGTAGTTGGGTCAGTGTTAATGCTGAGTATTTAATAGGGACATTTTGATAAATGTCTTAAATCTGGTGATTTACTAGTTTAGAAGGTAGAATATATATTTTATTAACTCTGCAAGTGGTATTTACCAACAAGTATAACTTGAATCTTTAAATTGTGTAACATGGCAACCTAATTTACCCCACACTGCTAGTCTTATTTCTCAGCGTAGATATTAAGATATAAGATGAAAGCTATTAATTTAGAGATTTATTTGCAATGGACTCCGTGCTTTGAAATTATGTGGCATTCCTTTAACATTTTGTTTTTAGATGACCTTTTCATTTTAACTATTCTTATTTTCTTCTGAATAGTGTCCTTTAAATAGCATTTTTTAAAAGAAGAAAGAGACAAAGTACTTACAATCAATTAGAAGTCAAAGTCTTTGAACATCATCAGTCTCAGGATACTTTACAGAAATTTGGTTTCTGGTTCTTCTGCTTCTGTCCCTCCTTCTGCTCGTGCTCCTCCTTTTTCATTAGCTTACTAAGGTGTTTCTCTGAGGCTTGAAAGAGGCTAGAAAACAAAAACAAAAACAAAAAAACCTCAAAACAAAACCAAAATGAAGTAGCTCCAATATGTATGTATTGAATATTTTACTTTAGAGTCCTTTGAAGAAAAATATGAATTTAAAGTACTTAATGGTTAGAAATTTAATTAACATTTAGTACCTTAGGCAGCTTGTAAACCTTGTTGCCATTTCTTTCTTAAGTATTATAACTTACTGTGGGCTGGCTTAGTGGCTCATGCCTGTAATTCCAGCACTTTGGGAGGCCGAGGCGTGCAGATCACTGAGATCAGGAGTTCGAGATCAGCTTGGTCAATGTAGTGAAACCCTGTCTCTACCAAAAAATACAAAAATTAGCCGGGCATCGTGGTGCACGCCTGTAGTCCCAACTACTTGGGAGGCTGAGGTGGGAGAATTGCTTGAACCTGGGAGGCAGAGGTTACAGTGAGCCAAGTTTGCACCACTACATTCCAGCAACAGAGTGAGACCCTGCCTTAGAAAAAAAAAAAAAAAAAGAAAGTGACGTACTCTGATTAGTGGTTTTTTTTTGTTGTTGAGACATCTATTGTGGGCCTACTGTGTGCTGTGCAGACAATGATGGGTAAAGCAGGCATGAATTTCTGTGGAGTTTAGTGTCCAGTGGAAGAGAGGAATTGTTCAGAGATTCATACAACTGTACTATTGAATGAGTTCTAGGAAGGACAAACATAGTCCCAAGAACACCCAGCAAGAGGGCCCTGGTCTTAGATGTTGGGAAGGCTTCCCAGATTAGTTGTACATCTAAGTTTGATGAAAGTATTGCTCATTTATTGAAGTGAATTTTAAAAAGTGACAGCTAATGGAATGATTTTCTTTTTGAGTGTTTTTTTTTTTTTTTTGGGCATGTTAGGAATAAAGAGATTAAGATATTAAAGATCCAGGACTAGAACTGAGAATAAAGAAGACATTAAGAAATGAAAGAACCAGGGTTAGTACTCAGTTTTCTTCTCTAATTCCAGTGGACTTTTGGTTGAGCTAAAGAAATAATGTAATTTAGTAGTTAAGAACATGAACTCTGATGCCAGACTCCCGGGGTTGTATCCTATTTCATTTACTATCTGTGTAGTTTTGGAGAAGTTACTTCTCTGTGTCTCAGTAAAATAGTTGTAATAATACTACCCTCCTTACAAAGTGGAGAACTAGATAATTAATATGTATAAAAGTCTTAGCCAGGCGCAGTGGCTCACGCCTGTAATCCCAGCACTTTGGGAGGCTGAGGTGGGTGGATCACCTGAGGTCAGGAGTTTGAGACCAGCTTGGCCGACATAGTGAAACCCTGTCTCTACTAAAAATAGAAAAAATTAGCTGGGCGTGGTGGCGGGCACCTGTAATCCCAGCTATTAGGGAGGCTGAGGCAGGGGAACTGCTTGAACCCGGGAGGCGGAGGTTACAGTGAGCCGAGATCATGCCATTTCACTCTCCAGCCTGGGCAACAAGCAAAACTCCATCTCAAAAAAAAAAAAAAAAAAAGTCTTACATGTTAGCTGCTGCTAATGTTGGTATTTTCTTGTTGTTTTTGGTGTTTAACTTTCTTTTCTTTTTTGAAACAAGGTCTTGCTCTGTCAGCCAGGATGGAGTGCAGTGACACCATCACATTCACTGCAGCCCCTGCCTCCTAGACTCAAGTGGCCCTCCTGCCTAAGCCTCAGGAATAGCTGGGACTATAGGCGTGAACTACTACACCTGGCTGATTTTTTTAAATGATGTTTTAGTGTCATTATAAACTCCAAATTTCTTTAAGGAACACTTTTCTTATCACTTCCTTTATTTTTCTAGTCTCCATTTTTTTTTTTTTTTGTAGATGAGGTAGATGAGGACTTAGAACATAGGTGCATTCATTTTATGTACTACTGAATATTTATTTTGTGCTAACTACTGTGCAAAACACTCTTGAGAATAAAAAACAAAAAACAAAACAAAACAAAAACCTGCTGAGCTTTAATGGAGGAGACAGATAAAT